AGTATCCATGGCCCAAGGAGAGCCATTTGCAGAAATTAATTGCTCCTGACTCAAAGTTTTCGCAGGTATCTTCTGAATTGGCCACTTATGATGTTTATTAACATATCCTTTCAAAAGCAATACAGATATTTCCATGCCAGGAGTGTTCCTTGATGAGACGGTGTTTTGGCTTCATCCATGAGTGTATGCCACCACTGGCCTCAACCTCTACAGTTAGAGAGGACCTCCTAAATACATTTAAGATGATTCATTCTGGGGATGGAATGATGGACTGCTACTTATGATGGCCCATGCCCTTCTTCAAAGCCAGGCCTGATATATTTAGTAAACTCATATTCTTTTTCGAAAAAAAAAAAATTACCTAATCAAATCTCTCATCAAATGAGCAATCCATTGTTGATATTATGAAGGCCTTTAATCTACCATAAATCTTTATTAGAACTCATCAGAGCTTCTAGTTTGAGAGAAATGTGATTATGGCACTCTTAAAATGACATTACATCATTGGGGTGATTGGTTTATCATTTGGAAAAGAGACATCAATCATAACTAGCATAACCACACAGTAAATGAATTCAACCTTTCTACCGCGGAACAATGACACTGTAATTGCTCAAAATCAGGCTTAAAATGAAATCGGAAAATGCTCTTTCTTCAAATATGATGTTAACTTAATGGAATATATTATGAAAAATCATGTTTGAGGAGATTCTATATAATTAAAAATATGTGGAATATATTCCCTTTTTTCTCTCATCAGAACCCGATTTTAGTTACAGAGCTATTTTTTTGTTACAGAGATTATGTTGCATTTAATTGAACTACCCTCACTTATGTTTTGCTGCTTTTTATTTCATAGTATGTAATCTTGATGAATATTGTATTATGAAGGACAAGAGGCTTTTGAAATGAGGTGCACCTGCTGATAACTTTTAAAAAACAGACAATTATTACGGAAAAATGAGCTTTTAAAAACTATCTTTTTATGCATATATGGACACACAAGCACAAATGATTTCCATAAGAGAGGTCAGTTCATCTCTATGATATGCACTGACCATCTAGGATGTTTTCTTAGTGATAATGCAGTGAGCGATTTATTTTCTTTTGGACAGTGTATCAGACTGCAACTTGTTGATGGGCTATTTGTGTTAGCTTTATGCCTAATCAAGACCTCATTTGGTGGACACAACAGATCCATGTGTTCAGAGTCAAACTTACCCATTTTTCATCACTCTCACCAATTTGTTAAGCTCACTTAAAACTGATAGCTGTTTAAGCTTCAGTAATAGGAGAAAATATCACAGAAAATCTGAAGGTCCATTTTCATCCCAAACAAAAGCCATGCTGATATGATTTCTTCAACTGAGGGGTGAAGACCCAGTTGTACAATACCCTTGTTTCCAGCAGGTATGTATTAGAGTTTGTTAAAGCTCCAGCCAATAGGAAGGCATTCAAAATTCTTGACTTTAGCTTAGTTATAGTGAAATCAAATTGAGCTCCATATGTGTGTGCTCATGTGTGTGTGTTCACATATATGTGTGTGTGTCTTTTGGAATGGATTTGGTGTCCAGGGCAAATTGGGGATTCTATCAAGACCTAAATGCAGTTGCCATGAATTTAAATTTGACATAAAGGATTGAATATAGAGTTTGACACAGACGATGCAAAAGGCAGTGCTGTGCCTGAGTGTTTTGAATTGATTTTGATGAAAGGTGCTGAATTTTTCAGGAGGTGTCACAGCACAAACAAAGCACCCATGTGTTTGGGTGTGTTATGTTTAGCTGGTTAAGTACATAGAATTTTTTAAGTTGGTCTCTTGGCAATGACCTTGTGTTCTGAAGATCAGGTACCAGTTTGGTTCTTTGTTTCTTTCTTAGGCGAAACGAAACACCTTCCAACACATTCAGCTCATACAGAGTAGTAAAAAATTATTTGCTGCTCTCCTCCTGTGGTTGCTGTTATTATTTGATGTTGGCGAAGCCCATCATTAGGAGAGTCACAGCACACATTTCTCACCCAAAGATCCCCTGTTGTAAAGAGACAACCTGGAAATAAACTACAGGAACTAAAATGTTTTTGCCCAACATGAAAACCTCCTCAAAGCAACAACAAAGCTTCACCTTTATGGTTTGACTGTCATTATTTTCTATGACTGCAGTGCATTCTTTAGTGGACGGTGCTACAGCCTTGCCACCTTTGGAGCCAAATTGCTGTAACTCTCAATCTATGCCAATCGAGGAGATACCCAGGTACAGCTAGACAGATTCAGTCGGGAGTGGTGTTTCCCTCCCCCTCAAGCATTTACTTCCAGATAGCTGAGCTCTGGTGAGTGGCTCGTCCTGTGTTCTGACCTTTTGCCACAACAGGTTAGCTCCAGAGATGTTTCTTCTATACTGCAGCACAATTTCAAATCCTATGAAATAACTCATCTGGAAGGAAAATCCAGATCCCAGAGGCAGCATAACGGAGGCTCCTGCAGATGGAAGAATGAGACTACCTTCCAAATGAGAACAGGGTTTGCAGTTTGCTCTCAGCATATATGGCAGGAAATATATAGGCAGCCATGTCATAATCTGAAAGCATTGGTTTACCTTCCCTCTTCCCATAAAAGGCTCAGTTTTAATTTTCTTTAAAGTCCAAATAAAGGAGTTTGGAAAACTGATTAGTAACATCAAACTATACATAAAAAATGTAACCAGGATGCCTCCACCAGGACCCTTTCAGTAGATCCAAGAAGGAAAAGGAGCTGTCCCAGCCAGAGAGCTTCAATTTATAACTGGGCACATTAAAGGTACCCTGACCTTTTTTTAAAAAAGCGATGTCTTGGTTAATTCTAAATGAAAATAGTACATCAAAACCAGCAAGGTTTAGGTTGTCCAGGGTGGTCCAAGAATTCAGTTGCCTGGCTAATTTAATGATTGTCTTATTTATCTGGTATCATAGAACAAAAGGGCTTTATTCATTCATTCTTTCTTTTTCTTTTACCTCCCCCATAATTTGTGACAGCTTATAAACATTTTTTTAAAAAAAAACCTTTAAACAATAATTAGATGATACAAAAAGAGTAAGGAGAAAATCTAGGGGGAAAAGCATGCACATATGCTGGTGTATAGAAAGCTCCGTTCCACTATTTAAGACAGAAAACTTGACAAAAGGGCTTTATTCATTCATTCTTTCTTTTTCTTTTACCTCCCCCATAATTTGTGACAGCTTATAAACATTTTTTTTAAAAAAAAACCTTTAAACAATAATTAGATGATACAAAAAGAGTAAGGAGAAAATCTAGGGGGGAAAGCATGCACATATGCTGGTGTATAGAAAGCTCCGTTCCACTATTTAAGACAGAAAACTTGATTCTAAGCTTCCTAGTAACCAAAGCAGAAAGGGAAACGTAACGAGAATAAGATGCAAAATACCCATGAGATTTAAAATAAATAAATAAATAAATAAATAATAATAATTAATAATATAATAATAATAATAATAATAATCAACTGCCTTGGGGAAATTCTGCAAATCTTCACAATGGGGCCAGAAAGAAATCTCTTATAAAGGAGTTTGTGTGTGCATTCCAGATACTCACACACATCTCAGTCCCACCCTATAATACGTATGCTAAATTCCTGTCACTATTCTTGTAACCTCTCACCAAATAAGCCATAGAGAGCACTTTCAGTTTTAAGAAAAAATCTACAAATGGCAAAAAATTGCACAGTCCACAGGCA